TCAGCGGCGTAGCGTGGCATCCATATAAGGGGATGTAACTGCAATTAACATTTTACAAACACAATAAAGCTTTTTTTCTTATTAAAGATTTTAATTTTGAACTTACAAAAATAAAGAGGCGAAAATGTAACAGGTTAAAAAAATTATTCGACCAATTTAAAAAAAAGAATAAATTTTGGTAATAAAAAAACAAAACTGTGGATGTATCTGTTAAATTTTAAAATTATTTAAAAAATGGTCAAGTGTCCGAAAAAAAGCTTAAAAATAAGCGTTCTGGCATTTAACGTTTTATGTAAAACTGGTATTTTCACAGTCAAATGAAGAAGAAAAATTAAAGATAAAGGATTATACTATATCCGTATTGTCGCACAATTTTAGACAACTTCTTTATTTTTTAAGATTTTGATGGTCAAACATCAACAAACTATTTTATTATGTTTGACTAAATTTTCTCGAAAATAAAGACATAATTAAAATTCCGTTACAATACGGAAATAAATTGAAGTTTGTGATTACAGTGATATATAATGTATATGGTTTTGTAACAAATTGCTCGCTATTTTATGGCAAATGCTGAAGATCAAGCCTTAATTAAAGCACTTGTGTTTGGAAATTTAGGTGTGGCTTAACACGACAGGATTGGGCTAAGCCTTAGGCAGATCTTTAAAATATAATATATATTTTCCTTCGGCCACACACCCGCTTTACCCGACCCCTTAGAGCGACCTGAACAGTATAGCGTAATATACTCTTTAATTTCCTGCTATGTATCTCCAATTGTACCAACTTATTTCTTTTGTAAATGAAATAAACTACTGTGAAACTAAAACAACAGATCTATCACTGTCAAGGATTTTGTCGTTGGACAGGCTCTACACACGAAACCGGCATCCAAAACCAGACGTTGCCGAGCGTGTATGATAAAATTGCTTTCTCAGAATAGTTTACGGTACAAGTGCCCATAAAACAGCTTATATAAATTTAATCTGTATTATTCCACGCAGCACCTCTTCAATTTTTCACTAATAAAACTATAAAAGGGCGATCTGTTTTTACGAGACAGCTAAATTGCACCCGGAATTGCAGCTACTTCCTGTTTGTCTCGCGAAAGATTTAACCGCCCTCTCATAATTTATCCCGCTTCTGCGTAGTTTTGTCGTCGGCGGAAGTTGGCACGGAGTTCGAAAAGGTATAAAAAGAGTAAAGAAGAAGAAAACAATCTAAAAATAAGCATTCATTATCATAGATAAGTATAAATTTGTTATTTTTGTATGGAGATTGATTGATCGTAATTTTGGTTTCTTTTTTGTGACTATGAGAAGATTAATTGTTAAATTTATTTATTGAACGTCAATAAAAATAAATAAATATTGATAATAATAATTATTGTAAATTTAAATCTAGTTTACTACTATCTAAAATATTACTACTAACTTAAAGCGGAACTCAAAACCTGGAAGACTAATTCGTAACAAGGAATGGAAATCCTCCAACGGTCTAAGGTATTCGAAGAAATTTCAGATTTTGGCTGACCTAAAAAATCAAAGATTTTTTCTTGAATAAATTAAGAACAATCTTGGATTGTCACGGAGTTTAACAGAGAGCACTGTCTCTTTAATGAACACTTCAGTAGATTGAAACTAAAACAACGGCAACAACAAATGCAGATTTTGGGAAAATGGGAAAATACCAGAACACCTTATCACTGAGTGCGCCGAGGCGACAACCATTCGTGCCATTAACTTTGACTGATATATATACGACTGATATCGGAGATGGAGAACCAACCTCTGCCAAAGGCCTGAGACTGTGTGGATGAGGATGAGTTATAACTCAAAAAAAAGGGGGACACAATAGATCAACAAGTTCGTTAGTGTGTCTTTACTCATATGACCATATTCATTAAGTTTTGTCTTCAAAATCTAAAACTCTAAAGTCCATTGAAAATGTATAGAACAAGAAAAAATATAGAGCTGCTTAAAAAAATAGAATATTACACAATATATATATATATATATATATATATATATATATATATATATATATATATATATATATATATATATATATATATATATATATATATATATATATATATATATATATATATATATATATATAGGTGTCTCAGAAATAAGTGCAGACATTTAACTGGTAGTATATTTCGACTCCCCAAATACATCCATGAGTTTTTTTCCCAAAAAAAAAAAATTGTTAAAAATTTTAAATTTTTCTGCAAAAAAAAAAAAAAAAAAAATTTTTAATGCCACTTGTTTATTCATCTGAGATTTTTCTACGATGTATGTAAACCTTGCAGTGTTGTCATCTCTTACCTTACCCATATTCAACATATTTTTTATTGACTGTAATTTTAATTTTCTACAGAAAAAATTATTAGAGTATTCATTTTAATCATATCAGTTACTATTACTAATAATTCCAGAAACAAGTAGTGTGCGTTTTCGATGTTTCGAGCTTCATAAGGATACATTTGTTAGAAATGGAGACTGTTACTTTAGCAATTATTATAACATGTAGTCAAGCAGTGAAGTGAAGCGGCTACCGGGTGCGTCTCAAAAGTGGCTCACCCCCTATAACTTTTTATTTTTCAGATAAAAAACGAGATTTGGTTTGTTAATATATGACATAAATTAGGATTGATTGACATATCTAATTGTTTTTCGCCATTTCCTATTTCACCGAAATGACAACTTTTGATTCTTAAATGGTACCGGTATTTTTTACTTTATTCGGATAAAAAATGACATTCCTGAATAGAATGACATATCATATGTCAAGTTTTGACATTTCGCTTAATAAAAAAATTCCATTTTAAGATTCAATTCTAGAGTGCCATGGCTGTGTTAAAATACTAATTTAATCAAGGAGCCTGGAAAAAATAGATTTGATCATCTAATGCTTTTAATGTCTTTGTCCTGGCCAGTTAGAAAAATGCTCAAATCGTATTTATAATCATATCTCAATTTTGTCAAATGGAACGATGGTGGCTCATTAACATATTTGGGAAAAGCATTTCTTTACGAATAATTTGATACCACACACTTGGTATTTCGAGTCAAATTTTCGTTACGAACTGTAACTTATAATTTCAAATAAATCATATACGAAAATGTCAAAAGTTGACAAACGATATGTCGTTCTATTCAGAGTGTTATTTTCTACCGAATAAAGTAAAAAAATTACGAGGGTGCCATTTAAAAATCAAAGGTTGTAGTCATTTTCGGTGAAACAGGAAGTAAAAAAAGGGGGACACAAAAAATAATTGAATACGCCAATCAATCCTATTTTATGTCATATACTAACATACCAAATCTCTTTTTTTATCTAAAAAAATAAAAAAGTTACAGGGGTGGGCCACTTTTGAGACGCACCCGGTATATATTATTGTTAAAAATAATTGTCACCGTTGTTAGGTCAATAATAATTGTGCCTTTTTCGATCAGTTAACGAAGTTTCGATCCTTAACTATCAGTACCGTTTTTATTATTGTGAGGAAAATATTTTTAAATTTTTTTGGGTAAGATTATTATTAATTATATTAAAAGAACTCTACAAAAGTAACTTACCTCTGCAAAACCCTTCGGATGGTGTAGTTTTGCGATTTGTTTATGCGTTTATACTTTTTTGACCATCTGGCAACACAGGGCGTCTAATAAGCTGAAAGCGGTTAATAAAAGGTAATCGCCGGCGGTTGTCAAAATGTTGCAACTTTTTTAAAGTTAAATTACTCGGTTATTTTCAATTTATTTTACAAATGGTGAAGAGAAAATATGTTTCTTTTGACCAGATCTACCACCCCTTAAAATACTTGCACTTATTTCTGAGACACCCTGTATGTTGATTTAGAGTATAGGTACTGCTTAAAGAAACAATGTTTAATTTTTAATATAAAGTTCAGCGGTTATAATATTATTTGAAATAATTGAGAAAAATACCATATAAAATTTTCAGTCATCTTATACCCCTAAAATGTTAAATAAAATAAAGAATACTTAATTCATGTATTACCATTTTTGTAGAGGACACTATTAACACATTAAATATTTGTAGTTTTACAATTTTGTGTGAGCTTTGATCAAGTGTTTGAGGTAATGTTAAACAAATTTAATCTACTTGTAGCAATATTTCAATAATTTCTTCGGTATAGATTATAGATTACGGTGTATTAATTGAAAATTTCTGAAACAAAGAATGTATTCTAATATTAAAAAAGTATCATTTTTTTGGAGAAATCTTTTCAGCTACCTTTGTCGTATTGACGTATTTTATATAAAAATGAAGAAAATTTTAAATTTCATATGAAGCTCTTTGGAGTAGGTCACCTTGTAGAATTATGTCGTATACTATAGAGAGAGTGACCCAGTTCTTTATGCCGACAACATTCATAATAACGCTCTCGAATGAACAGATGCCTTTCGTCCTTTCGTGACCTGGGTGTAATGTTTTATTCCAAATTTTCTTTTATTTTCTTATTATAACTGCATAATAACGAAGTCTCTTATATTAATGACAGTTTATTATAACTTGGTTGGATTTTGAACTTGAATATGCATAAATAATAAAATCTTGTGCTTTAGGAATAATAATGGTCTCCCTACAGTATCTTTAAAACATAGGAGAATTTTAATAATGTCTATATGGCCTTTGTAGATTTGTTATGCCGCGCAGATAGAAGAAATAAACATCGATAATTCAACTGTAAATATAGAAGAGAAATGAGAAGAAGTGAAAGAAAGCCTTCAAAAGATTGCCGAAGAAAACCTCGGATATCAGAGACATATTAAAAAGCCATGGATCTCAGATGGCACATGAGAAAAGATTAAAGAAAGAAAAGAAATTAAACAAAAATTCTACAAGCAGGCCACAGCACACAAATAAGAACACTAGAGGAGCAATATCGCACAAAGAATAAGGAAGTGAAGAGATCAGCAAGAAGAGATAAACGCTTGTGGACAGAAGAACTTGCAGAAAAAGCTCAAATGGCAGCTGAAATAAATGATTCCAGGACACTTTATCGCACTACTAAAACGCTTGCCAACAAAAACATTAATAGGGAATGTCCCATAGTGAAAGATAAAGAAGGAAATATACTGACCTCAAAAGAGGATCAGCTGCACAGATGGACAGAATTTTTTAGTGAACCTCAACAGGTAACAAATGATATTGATGAGGTACCAACGTCTCCAACAGAGAACTGCAAATCTAGAATCGCAACACGTGCTCCATCGATTCAAGAAATTAAGCAAGCATTATCACAGCTTAAAACTGGCAAAGCGACAGGTCCTGATAATATACCCGCTGAACTATTTAAGATACATCCAGAAAACATTGCACAGCTACTAGAGACAATAATAAAAAGCAGTTGGGAAACAGAACATATCCCGTCAACGTGGAAAGAAGGACTTATTGTAAAACTCCCCAAGAAGGGCGACTTATCCCAGTATAAGAACTGGCGAGGCATTACCTTACTTAACACCATTAACATGACCATTAACAAGATAATTCCTACAGTCATCCAAAAAAAAGAATATCAGATGCCCTTGAACCGACTTTGGGAAAAGAACAAGCAGGTTTTAGGCCTCAAAGATCATGTATCGACCAAATTAATACTTTCAGAATAATAATAGAGCAATCTCAATAGTTCAGATCGCCATTATACATGGTGTTCGTGGATATTCAAAGAGCATTCGATACTATAAAACACATAGCCATCTGGAAAGCTTTGAGAGAAAAAGGAATACCCGAAAAAATAATCCGCATGATTAAAATGCTTTATCATGATGCTACAAGCTGTGTATTACATAAAGGTCAAGTGGGGGAGAAAATTTCTATTGCAGTAGGTGTAAAACAGGGATGTATACTTTCGCCGCTACTCTTTAACATCGTTCTGGATGAGGCACTAAATAGAGCATTTAAAGAACCACTAGGGATACAATGGGGACTGTTAAGCAGGCTAGAAGACCTGGATTACGCAGACGATCTATGCATCTTTTCCCATTCACATTCGGATATGTCTCAAAAACTTCTTAGACTCCAAGAGGAAGCTAATAATGTTGGTCTTCAAATCAACGTGGCGAAAACCAAAGAAATGAGGTCAAATACTCCCAACAACCAAGATCTATACCTCTCCAACCGAGCCATCGAAAGAGTTGATGAATTTTAGTACCTGGGAAGTATGGTTCAGAGCGATGGGGGCACAGAGAAAGATATAGAGGAAAGGATTTTGAAGGCACAAAGAGCTTTTGGCATGCTTACACCTGTGTGGAACTCCTCTATATATAGCAAAAAACTAAGGTCCAGCTCTTCAATAGCAATGTCAAATCTATTTTGCTTTATGGATGCGAAACATGGAAGGTTACGCGTGGTCTCATGGATCGCCTACAGGTGTTTGTTAACAAGTGTCTTCGAAGAATATTGAGAATTTTCTGGCCCAATCAAATTAACAACGAAGAACTGTGGAGAAGAACATCACAAAATCGAATAGATATCGAAATTAAGAAAAGAAAGTGGGGCTGGATTGGGCACATTTTGCGCTGACCCCACAGAGATATCGCTAGACGGGCACTTGAATGGAATCCACAGGGAAGACGTGTCAGGGGAAGACCAAGGAATACCTGGAGAAGAACAGTAACCTCTGAAGCCCAAGAGGTCGGGAAAACATGGGGAAAGATCAAACAGACAGTTCAGAATAGGATCAGATGGAAACATCTCTTAGAAGCCCTATGTCCCACGAAGGGATGACGGGAACATATATATATATATATATATATATATATATATATATATATATATATATATATATATATATATATATATATATATATATATATATATATGGCCTTTTGACAGGCTTATTTCTTGAAAGCCTGGATTTTCCTTTACTACTCAAAGAAAATACTAAAAAAATACAAAGTTATTTTTTTGTAAAAACCACTGCGTTAGAATCCAAACTAAAAATAACTTGTCAGTGGCTTAATACTTGTAAACAAATTTGCCTTACCAACAAAAGTGCTTAACGTTTCTGGATGTATATTCTGTCTCTGCATTCACAAAGTAGTTACATTTAGACATTTCAAATATATTTTTTATTCTTCTTATTTTTTGCTTTTGACTAGGAGTATAAACCCCCTGAAACGTTAGATATTTTTGTTGGTTAGGTAAATAAAATGTAGACAAATTTCTTTACGAGAAAAAAACCGCTAACAAACTGCTTTTTTTAGATTTTAAGACTGCTGCAAAATAAAATATTGTTATGTTTTTCCTCGGTTCCGTGTAGATAGAAAGTCACAATTTATTTAAACACAATTTATTTAACACTAATTAACAAAAAAAAAATAACGATAAAAGACTTAAAGAACTATTTACAAACGATTTATAACTATTTATCTAGAAAGAATTTATTTTGAATTTTAGCGCGTCAACTGTACTCGTCTATTTATGTCTGTCTTTCTCAGGCCTCAAACCTAACCGTCGGATTTTATACCCACAGCTAAAGAGTTTCTCGAATAGTCCATAAACCATCAGGTGCATAGAGAAGGTTTCGAATGTTCTCGTATGTTCTACTCCATTCCAGTGGAGTAGAATTCGTTTTTTCTCGAACGTTCGAATGAATCATTACGGTGTCTATTCTTTAATGCAATGTTAAGGTCATCTGAGGGCGGGACATATAGTTAGGTTAGGTCGAGTCCACACGGATCCGCAACAATATATATATATATATATATATATATATATATATATATATATATATATATATATATATATATATATATATATATATATATATTTTGCTTCAAGTAGAAAGAAGCATGAATTTACATACTCAAACAGTAATGTCCCACCTTAACTTTACTTAAAATATCAGGTATATATCTAGATATAATAAGATATTACTACTCTGATATACACTGTATACTTTATTATGCTATTTTGTATTTATAATACACTTACCAGTGACTATATTAAAATAGAAGAACATCAAAAATATATGAAAATAATTTTAGTAGCACTTTTAATAAAAATTTTATGAAACTATATTTTAGATATCTTTTAACAGCACGCCTTCTACTACTTCATAAATTTATTTGTCAAAGAATAGGCCTTTAGAAACCAATAGAGGCGGGAAGAAATATATCTGTAGATTTATTGGTTGTAAAGTTTTATTACGAAATAAAACATTTTACACATACACTTTTTCTGTATATCGTTTTTGTGTCTATAGACCATAAACTTGTTTGCGCTCTATAATATATTGCCTGTTATGAGGTGTGTTTCGTAATCCTACAAGTTATGAAAACTAAATAAAATATTCAAGTGGTATATTATAGGTTTAAGTAATAAAATTAACATAAAGGTTTAAATAGTGTGAAGCAAGGACTTATCTGTATATTATCTATATATAGATGGATTATATTATCTATATACAGGATGAGTCTTAAGTAAGTGCAAACATTTTCAGGACTAGTAGATCTCGATAAAAAAACATATTTTCTCTTTACCGTTATACAAATAAGTCCAAAATAATTGAGTTATTTTACTATGAAAATTAAAAAAAAATATTTTTTGTTTACATTTTGACAACAATTTGATCTTTTCTGGGTTTCCTTTCTTGTAAATTTAATGTACTACCTATGTTGCCATATTATCAAGAAATTATGCTTTTTAACTTAAAAAAAAATCCAAAAATTTGTGCAAACAAATTCTAAATTTTGAATTTTTTTTCGCAAAAAAAACTCATAGACGTGTTTCTGGGGTCGAATGCTATATACAATCCTTAAAAATATTTGCTCTTATTTAAGTAGGTACAAATATATTTTTAAATCAATTCAATAGAAATGAAATAATATAAGATTTTAAAGTGATAAATTGAACTTCGTTTTTAGTGACAAATATAAGTATTTCTTACTATGAAGCAAATTTTTTCGTCAATGAACAAAATTAGTATCATAATTGAGTAAAAATGCAGTTGTAAAATTTATTATATTTTTTTTATTAAACATTTTAATTATCTATACTAATATATAAAATCCTTAAGTGACTGACATACTGATTAATCACGATCCTGCTTAAACCACTCAACGTAAGAAACTCAATTTTGGCATACAGGTTGATTCTAGGGTGTAGAGGTTCGATAAGAAGGAATTTTTCGAAATTCCAGTCCAAGAGGGTAAAACCACCCCTCAAATATTACAATATTTTTATTTAAAAAACGGTCAGGTTTCCGAAAAAACGCTTAAACACGTATATTTTATTTTGTTGTTTTACATATTTTAAGATTTTTTATAAATTTATACAGGGTGTTTCATAAAATATGACCATTGAGTAATCACGATTCTGCTTAAATTGCTTGACGTTTAAAGCTGATTTTTGGCAAACGGATTGACTGTGGGGTGTAGAGGTTCGATAAGGAGGGGTTTCTCGAATCTCAAATTCCAAGAGGGTAAAAACGCCCCTCAAATATTACAATATTTGTTATTTAAAAAACGGTTAGTCTTTCGGGAAAACGCTTGGACAAGCATAATTTATTTGTTTTTTTTACATATTTTGAAATTTTTTATAAAATCATACAGGGTGTTCCAAAAAGTTGGGTAATTTCTTAACCACGATTCTGCTTAAACTGCTTGACGTAAAAAGCTTATTTTTGGCAACGGAATTTTACGGAAGTCAAATTCTAACGAGATAAAACTACCCCTCAATATTACCAAGTTATATAATAATATCGCCATATTGCTTTTTCTCATGCTGACATAAATGTGAGAAAATTTTATCCAGTTTGTATGTTAATGGAAATTCTTGCTTTGCTTTATCATCACCATTACAAATGGTTCGACGCGAACGAAGTAGCTGGTACACGTTAGTCTACTATAAACTAAATTTTTTTGTCAATGAACAAAATCAGTATTATAACTCAATAAAAATGCAGTTGTACAATTTATTATTTTTTAAATTAAACAGTTTATTTACGCTAATAACAAACAAATCTCAATATATGTTTGCTCTACTGCATGTCCCTTTCTGCGATTTCAAACGTATCAACAGCAAAAGCTGTAAAAAACAAAACATTTCCCTCACATTTTATCTCTCAATCAAACTTTACAACCAATATAAACCGACAGATATACGTATGCACCTCTTCCCGCTCCACTCTCCGTTTTTTACTATCGAACCTCAACAAATTTTCGACGAAAACTTTACAATGCCTCAGGTTCATGAATACTTTGTATCGAAGGGACACGCTTGGATAAATCGCTGGGATGGGCCAAGTCCCATTTCGAAAAGAGGTTTCTTTCTTCTTAATTTATTTTTGGAAAAGTTTTCTGGAATAGAATAGAAAGTTCCTTTTTGGTTTATATTCTTGCATTTTTTCGGTAACATATTATAATAGAAACGTTGTTCTAAGTGGTTGCTTCTTAAGAATAAGTTGGACTCAAAGAATCAGAAACTGACAGATAAATAACCAAATTACAAAATAAAAAATGAAAATATATATTTTTTATTTATATATTAATATCCCAAAAACTATCGAAATATATTTACTCATATCTTAGGATTATGTAAAGTGATCTGAAAGGACGCCAAAAATGCAATAATATACAGGGTGTTCCGTTTAAAAAAATCATCC